CAGTCAGGCAATGCATGGACTAAAATCAGTCACCAGCATCTTTGTTCACGTGTCTAGTGGACAGGACTTGGGTTCTGCTGGCACTATCAAGCAAGCTGTCTGGACATGGCCTCTCCATGTAGCCTGTATTCTCTTCTGATGGGGAGCCTCGGTTCCAAAAACAAATACCCTAGAGAGCCAGGTAGAGTCTCCATAGCCTTCAGTGATGGGCTTGGGAGTCATACGAGGATGGCATTTGTCATAGTTAGACTCAGAGGTGAGATCATAGACACCACCTCTCCAGAGGACAGTCATGGAGTCTGCAGACTACTGCTATGCCCACACACCAAGTTGCTAACGGAACACCAACTGGCATCCCACAAATATTGTCAAGCACATAAAACACTAATAGTCACTATGTTCTGGGGGTTCAACTTCCAGAGGAAAGATTTGGACTCTATCTTTTCTAGTCAATTTTGGAAGACTAAGAATGTTGATAACACTGGTCTCATGGTGTTCAATGGTGAGGTTAAGTACAGTGTGCCCAACCAACATGAAGAAGTAGTCAAGGAGTGCTTCCCTGGCTTCATAACACTGCTTATACCATCAACCAGATCCTGGGATTTCCTAATGGTCTTCAGACTTGACCCACATCGCCTGATCCAAGAGCGCCCTTCTTAGGAATTGGAAGTCATTGCCAGAATAGCCAGCATGTGAGGACACCAGGAAGCCTGGCCAGGTTGTTGTGACTGCAGCCAGAGAAGAAATCTGGCTGGCTTGGTCTTGCAAGGTCACCTCTGCAGCTGTCACCTTTCTTTTCTTTCCATCCATTTGACTTCCTCTTTGTTCCTCGGCCACCTTCCCCAGACGCTCTAGACTGTCCCATGGAATCTGATGACAAAGCTGGTCACAGACCTGAAATAGCCGTCCCTCATCAATAGTTCAGTAAGGGAACAGGAACAAGGGAAAGGCAATTCACATCGGTCTGTGGGCACCGTGAACTCATGTTTAGCCACAGTGCAGGGCAGCCTAAGGCCAGCTGCCTTTCCTAAGGCAAGCTTTAACCTACTATAACCTCCTAGCTAATATTTAATTAGACCAACAGCTCAGGAATGTAATCTCCAGTAAGTAAAATGGAAACTGTACAGACACACTTGCTATCCCCTGAATATGTCCCATGCCCACCCTTCCCATATCCACACCAACTCTGAGAGATATCATCGCTTTCATCTGCATCTTTTGGACTCCTAAAAAAAAAAAAAACCTTTGTGCATACACACAGCTGTGTGCAGATGCATGCCTGTGCAAATGTGAATCTGAATGTGGGTGCTTGCATGTGAAGGCCAGAGGATAACCTCAGCTATTGTTCCTCACATGCCGTCCACCTTGGTTTTTGACACAGATTCTGTCATTGGCCTGGAATTCACTAAAGCTACCTGGCCAATGAGCCCTGGAGATCACCTGTCTCTGCCTCCCCAGCCCTGGGATCACCTGAATGCCACCAGATCTACCAGGTCAGATTTTCTGAGTGTGGATTCTGGGGGATTGAACGCGGGTTTCCATGCTCCAATAAAGCACTTTGCTGACCAGGCCACCATCTCAGCCCCTAATTGTGAACCCTTGCTAGGAGGCTCTACATCCAAGCGCATCATTGTTATTGTTAGTAAGCTCCGTTCTCTTGCTCTGAGGGCCTCTCCATGGGGCTGCCTCATGAAGAGAGAGCTGGATTTTTTCCCAGGGTAAGATAGCCAAGAGAGGGGGGGGGAGTGTACACCCAGCGTCTTCTCACCCAAGCCCACAAACACATCCTGTTACTCTTCACATTGGTTGCGTTCTCCAAGTGAGTCGAACCAACAAACACAACAAGAGAGGAGTCTCCTTGAGAGGAGGAGATAATTAGGATGTGAGGACCACTCCGAGATATTTGAGAGGCTGCCAACACCATGTTTACATTGAAGCCATTATACCGTGCCCAATTTCTGCATCTTTTTTCAATCAGTGGAGTGTCTTAGAGATGTGGCCTTGTTAGCATGCATATATATCCCAATTCTTTTTAAGTATGGCGTAGAGCTCCGTAGACCAGATCAAGTGTTTCTCAATTCACAACTGGTCTGGTATTTTTCCTTTCCTCCCCCATCCCTTTATTTTATTTTTTTATTTTTGAGACAGAGTTTCTTGCTCTGGACACTGTAGTTCCAGCTAGCTTGGAACTCACTGTGCAGCCTGACTTGGCCTCAAACTCACAGCAATCCTCCCATTTCTACCTCCCGAGTCTTGAGGTCATAGCCACGAATCACCACACCCCACCCGCTTTCCTTCATTTCTTCCTCCCTCTGTCCCTCCGTCCCTCCCTCCTTCTCTCTCTTCTCTCATGCTTTCTCCCACCATCCTTCATCCTTCTGTCTTCTTTCTATTCTTCTTTTACTGCTGTACACATGCCATACCAGGAGGTGGGCATCGGTTTCCTCTACGTTGAGGGTCACAAGGGTGTTGAGGGTTTCTCCACGGGTTTGTTTTGCACAGTCGGGTCTGAAAACTACTTGTAGAGATGTCAGATAGTTTATTCAGCCATTTTTTTTCTTTCATCACTGATGATAAACCATCTCTTTTTCTGCTCTTACCGGTTATGCTGAGAAATCTCTGTTGCGTGCATGCGGGTAATGGTGGCATTATCAAGGAGCACTGTGTCTCCACAGAGTATTTTCTGTCAAGCAGCAGGGTATGTATTTCATCCCCTGGAGGGACCAAATGTCCTCCAAGTGCCACTGCCACCCAAGAGTTTCTTTTCCCTAAAGTCTCCTCAGCATTTAGCTTCATCAAACTCGGGGCCAATCTGCTGTTTGAACATGGCCCTCCTTTCCATGCCCACATCTTTGGGGTCATCTGGTTGTCTTCCTGGCCACTGCAGGACTCTTCATAGAGAACTGACTTTAGCTGTGGAGTAAGGTAGGTCTGAGGAGACCCAAGGCTTCTGGGCTGATGTCCATAGGTCAGAATTCAGCTCTTTTCCAGTTCTGTTTCTTTCTTTTGATAAAGCTAAAGGCAGAATATTTCCTCTTTCAATTTTGATGAAATCAAATACCTCTTAATATGAAATGTTTCTTAATATGAACTGCTTCCTAATCATTGACTGTGTGATCGATGGATCAAACAATTTGCTTTTCATTTTTTGGGTCTTGTGCTTTCTCTGACCCCCAGGATACCCATGCTGCTCTCCTAACCGTCTTAGTTCACCAACGCTCTCAAGGTCAAGTCTGGCCTCCAGCCTCAGGCTAAGGAATCCTGATTTATAAGCTGGTCCCGGGTATTATTTCTCTTACCATGTTGCCTTGAGTTTTTCTGGGGAAAAAAAAGGGCGCCGCACATGCAAAATGATTATTATAATTATGCATCTGTTAAGCTAATTCCGAACAGCCCGCCATGGGGTTCTATTCAGAAGACTAGCGAGAAGGGAGGAGCTGCTTCATGGAAGAAGGCAGAGGAGGCTGCCCCTCAGCGCCGTCCCTTTGAAAGCCATTGCACCCGCACCCCCAATTCGCTCTGCGACCCGCTGATCTGTCCTCCAGCGAAAAGAAGGAGTTGAACATGCTTTGTGGAGACACATTCATGCTTTGATTATGTCCCTTTGGGGATCACACCACAAATAGAAACTTCTAATAACACCCTCTATGATCTCTTCAACTGGGAGAGCATGGGGTCCCTTTGCCCAGCAGTACCTCATCCAGCCACTGAGTTCTTCTTTCCCTAAGTCCACTCTACAGCACTTATCAACTGTGCAGACTAAATATTAACACCGAAGGCCCAAGAGGAAATACAAGAAGCAGCCCCTCCCCCAAGCCTTGAAGGGGAAGGAAAAGTCATATTCAAAAACCATTTCCGTTTTCTGCCAAGTCGTGAAGTTAGTAGCCAGGACACTTTGTCAATAGCAGCCCTTCCATAAAAGTGTAATTTGGAATATTTCTTAATGCAATGTCACCACAAGAAGCCGGCTGAGGTCTTGACTGGAAGACGCTCCGGAATATTTTGCTTCCTTTGGAATTTACAGTACTGTCTTGTTGAATCTAACTTGACGCTCTAACAAATGGAGCATTATATTAGGCTCAGTGAAGCAGAAACTTCTCCGTGTCCCACTTCCCCCACATCTTGCCTTCGACTTTGTCTTATTCCACCAGATAATGTTGCACCTCATTCAATCATCATAAAAGGCGGGCTTTTGATGTCTGAAACAAATCTTTTGTTTATTCAACAAATAGTTCTATGCGGAGGTAGCACTAGGGTTTAAGATATGCATTGTTAACTTATTATGGTCTACCTTTAAGTAACAGTGAACCACTGCACACACTTGTATACAGATTTTACACATTTGCTTTCTGTTTCTAATCCTTTGGGTTATTGTTATCTTATACCTTATTTGTATGGATGTTCTAACATATACAGTATATTGTTATTTTTGCTTTAAAGAATAAATTTGCTTTTTTGAGAGCTATATATGAATCAAAAAGCTTTTATATTTAGTAGTGCTTTCTATTTAAGGTATTCTTTTAACAATTTATTTATTATGAACATACATGTATATGCCGGATGTGTGTGGGCATATGAACCATGGCGTGCCTGTAGAGGTCAGAGGTCAGCTTATGGGAGTCAGTTCCCTCCTTCCACCTTTGGGTGGGTTCCAGGGATCAAACTCAGCACCAGGCTTCTGTGGTAAGTACATGTTCCTGCTGAGCCACCATACTGTTCCCTTTAAGGTGTCCTTCACTTCACATGTAGCCTTTCATCTCACTTGTTACATTTCCCTTCTCGAAACACTTCTATTCACAGTTTTTGTGCAGCTCCACCACCGGTGTATTTGGTTAGCTTTTATAAGCTGGAAAATGAATTAATTTTTTTATTCAAATTTATTAATATTGATTTTTTTTAATTTTTGAGAAATTCCTTTATGTGTACAGTGAAACGTGATCATCTCTTGCAAACATGGCTCCCTTCCAACTTCATGTTGTCTTCTTTTTTAAATCGTTGAGGTTACTCTACCAAGCCGTATCAGTGCTGCCCGTCCACGTGAGTATGCGTGTGGGGCCGTCCACTGGAGCATGAGAAAACTAGAAGCAGCCACACATCCAAAAGCAAGCAAGCGAGCAAGAAAAACGTGGTTCTCCTCCTCCCAGCAGCTACCAGCTGTCAACAGTTCCTCACAGTGAGGGCCTGGATAACACCTCCCCGGTCTACACCAGAACTTCAGATGGTTTGTACACCACCCAGAGCTGGAAGGAGTTCATGAGTGCATCGCCATGTCCATTCCAGAAGCCTGCATCCCACAGACTTCCTCTTATCCAGCTTTTACATTCTTTCCATCCTCTCTTCCTCAGTGTTCACTGGGCCTTGGTGGAGGAGGTGAGGTCCCTCTTAGGGCTGAACGCTCAGTCTTATTCTAGCACTATGGCTGGTTCTGTAGCTCAGCATTGACTACTGCCCACTGCAAAAAGAAGCTTCCCTGGCCAAAACGGAGAGCAGCCCAGGTCTATGGTGATAAACATAGGCATTTAGAGGGCAATTTGACAATATGACCATTTTGTAAAATAACAATAGCAGGTTCTACCCTCGGGCCTATGACCACCCCAGCCATGGGCTTTGGACCAGCATTACAGTAGCAGGCATGAGATTCCCTCCTGTGAAGCAGGCCTCAAGTCCCAAAAGAGAGCCATCAGTCCCCCACGACAATCATGAGACTGCTATGCCAGTGGGTATTTCTGGCCTGGGAGGTCATATTGTAACATGCAGGGTCTATCACTTGGTTAAGATGGTATCTTTTCTCCCCAGCCACCTGCACAGCACTTCCTGGCACTGTGAAAGCTAGCCAGCAGGGAGTGCTTCCCAGTCAATTTGAAATTGATTCCTCCATGGCCTGCAGAAATTTCCCCCATTTCAAATAATATTGTCATTGGACAGGAATTCTAGGTAGACAGACAGTGTTTGCTTTCTAGTGGACCTCAATATTTCTGCAAGAAGTCAGCGATAATTTGTGATTGTTTTGTGTTGTTCTGTGTGCTGGTCTTTTTGGTTCTAAACTTGTATTTGCATTATTAGTTTTCAGTCATTTTCTCATGATATGCGTGTGGTGTGTGTGTGTGTGTGTGTGTGTGTGTGTGTGTGTGTGTGTGTGTGTGTGTATCCTGCCCACTGGAAGTTTCTGTGCTTCTTGTATTTCTGGGCTTAAATTTTCCTTTAAATTTGGGGAAATTTTGGCTAACATTTCTTTAATTACTTTTCCTGCCTATCTCTTAAGCTCCTCTTCCCCAGACTCAAGGTGCACACTGGACACCTGCTCTGTCCCTCCATGTCAGTAAGGTGCTGTTCATTCTCCTCTGATGCCCTGGGCTGCTGTTACAGCCACTGTTGAGAAGCTGAGTTCCCTAACACTATCACCTGTGTCTTTCCCACTCTCAGTCAGCTATGGACTCCTTTCTTTGGTTCCCACACATCATCCTCCTCCTTCCTGTCTCTAAGAATTTTTTATGCTGTGTTTGGCATTGTGGGGGAGAGGATGCAGGGTGTCTGAATGTTGTGCTCGTCTTTCAAAACACTGGGTTTTGTCCTGCAAACAGTTGCTTTCCTCGGGGATCTACCTGATCCTTTTGGGATCATCTTGGACCTTTGTTACAGTCTAGTCTACCCTTGACTCCAAGACTGCTGTAACCTGTGTTCTACAGGTGGCTTTTCTGTGTATCACTTGAGTGCCTGCTGTGTGGAAAGACCTCCTGGGGAAGACCCAATACCTACGTCGACTCGCCCCAGAAAGGGAATTCACGGCAGACCAAAGTAACAATTGCACCCAGGTCCAACTTGGTGAACCGAGTTCTTACTGAGGTTACTAGCAGGAATCTAGGTTGAGGGGTTAGTTACAAGGAGCAGGGATGAGTTAAAAGCAGCTGCGTTCTGAAGAAGCCCACCTCAACACAGGCGAGGAGGACTCGAACGCTGCAACCCTGGAGCTCTCTGCATAGCTCACAGGCCACTCCCCAATCTCCATACCTGCTCCGTGCAGTTCTGCTGGGCAGAGTCCAGCCCCACCCCCACCCCCCAGAGAGTTTGCTTGTCTTGATACTGCCGGGGAGGGGCCCTGTGTTAGTCATGTCCCTATTGCTGTGATAAAACACCATTTCTTTAAGTCCAAAGTTCAAATCTGTTCTAAAACTCAAGGCAGTCTCTTACTGTAATGTTAGCTGTAATATCAAAAAGCAAATTACATACTTCTAACGTACAATGGCGCAGATTATACATTGCCATTCCAAAAGGGAGGAATTGAGCCACAATGAGGAAATATTGGACCAAAGCAAGACAGAAACCCAGCAGGGCAAACTGCAAATCTTGTAACTCCACGTCTCGTGTCAACATACTTGGAGAGCTCCTCACTCTGGCTTTGCGGCCTGCAACACACTTCTCTCTCTTGGCCGGCTTTCCCTCCCTGTCTGCAGCTTTCCTTGGCAGACATCCCACAGCTCTGGCATGTCCAACATCTCAGGGTCTCCAATGAAATGCAAGCTTCCCTTTCACAGCTTCACGAAATGGCCTCTCAGGGCCTCCACGAGGGGACTCTTTCACCACATGCCTGGCCTCAGCAGCTCTTGACATGTCCCAGACATGTGACCCTTTGTTTCCCTTCTGAGGTTCATGAGTCTCCCCTTCCATCCTGGAGGGGAGTGCTTCAACTTGAAGGAAATTGCCTTACAACAATGCTCAGAACTTTGGTGTGCGCGTGTGTGTGTGTGTGTGTGTGTGTGTGTACCGACTCTCAATTCAGCTCCCAGCTCTCTTCTTCCTTCTTTGTCCTCCTGGATTCTTGTCCTGTACCCTGTCACTTGGTATTCAGGCAGAGACTCCAAGGCTTCTTTCTGAAGTACCTCCAGATTTTTCAAGTTCCTTCTCTGTATGATTGTCGCTCCTCCAGAATTCTTGCCCATATATTTATTCTACCCGTGTTATCGGAGCTGAGTCCGGGCTCCTTACATGACACTATCCCTCCCTGCTTCCACCTGCCCTCATCAAACCATCCCCAGAAAAGAGCCTGGAGGCAAAACCCAAGGGCAGTCATGGTGATCACTTCATACACGGGAAAGCGGAGGTTTAATGCAAGCAGGTGGTGCCCCCATTCAGTGGGCATATCCTTTAAATACATTGTAACAGTTATGCCTTGTTACTGGGACAAAACTCCTGACAGACACATCTTAAGGAAGGAAGGGTTGATGTTAGCTGTAGTTCAAGGATACACTGTGTCACAGTTGACAGCCCATCTGCATTGCATCCACAGCCCCAAGCAGAGAGATGTTGGTACTCCTTTCTGTTCAGCCCAAGACCACAGTTGGTTTAACCGTGCTTTCCACACTGAAGTCTTCCCACCTCAATTATCCCAATCTAGAAACCTCCACAGAGATGTGCCCAGAGGCTCGTCTCCTAGGTGACAGTTACGACTAACCAACACCAGCATTTATTAAGAGGCAGACATCTATGCCATGCACAAAGGGGGAGGGGCGCTAAATGAGGCCTTCCATCTCTGCGCTTTCAACCTCGGCTTCCTGGGAAGTTCACGTGAGGGCAGTGTCACAGCAAAGGAAAACTGTGACATCAAGTCTCACTTCAGAACATCTGTGCTGCTGGTCTCGCTAGACTTCCCCTCTTTCTTCTAAGGCAGGGGACTGGCTCTTCGGTGTTCAGGTCAAGCTCTGTGTCTTGAAGTTCATTGCCTCAATCACTGCTCAGTGAGAATCTCGTATAGCATTTAAGGTGGTGATTTACAATACCCATTTTTACCAGGAGAAAACACACTCTGGTGTTCGCTTTGCTAATGACTGAAGCCTCTGGATTTCACTGAAGGATTATCTGTGCTTTGGGGATCAATGCCTCCTGAATCCTTTCTGATTAAAAAAGAGCTGAGTGCCCTGGTGTATCTACTCCTCATCTGAGTAGAGGTTGTCCGGAGCCTGTAGCTTAAGTTAACACACTCAAAATACCACACTGCCCATGGGGAACTATTTAAACTTCCTTCCATTGGCTCCTTGCAAAGAGCTGAAATGAAAATAATCTAAAACCTGTGTGTTTTTCCTGGTCACATCATCGCCAGGGGTATAAGACGCTCAGGGTTCTCCCACCAGTGAAACAAGCTTCTCTTTCTCTTTGTCCTTTCAAAACAGCTTTTAAGAACATTGACTATATTGTGGAGTAAGCGAATATTTAACCATGCACATCTGTGTAATGCCCCTTAAAACTAGCCACCGCTAAGCATCCAGCAAATTTTCTGATTGAGAAACCGGATACCTCCTGTCCTGTAGAGTCAGGTGCTGGTGGAGGATGGGAAACAGAGGAGCGGCCTCTTCCCTCAGCCTCCTGCATATGCTGACCTGTGTTGGGTACCAGCATCCTCTCGGTTCTCCTGCATCCTTCTTTCCCCACTTCTCCTGAGCATCAGGTCCAAGAGGGCCTTCCAGGAAAGACAAACTCCTGGTTGGCCCAGAGCATTACAAGACCAACCCAGATCCCAAAGACAAGAAAGTCGGTTTGATGGGAGAATTGCAAAAATGTTCATCTACTACACCCAAGTCCAAATCCACAAGGGCCACTAAGGTAAGTGGGCTGAAGAGAAGGTGCCCTGTTGTGCAGGATTTGAGAGAAATCAAAGATTCTCAGAGACCTGAGGGCTCTGGCTTGGCTGCAGGCTCAGGCCTCCTTCCAAAAGGGATGCCTGAAGACCTGAAGAATGAAGAGTTAATACCAGGGCAAGGGGTGTGCTTACGCAGCAGGAATGCCATGGCATTCCTGTGGCAAGACTGGGTTTCTTTACCTAGCCTTGGATAGGAAAAAAAAAAAAAAAAGGAAAGAAAGAAAACAAGGAAGGACGTGACTGGTCCCAGGTTTCGGCACCAGATGATGAAGAAAAGAAACAAAAAGGAAGGACATGACTGTAGCTAGAGTTTTCCGGCCTTGCCCACAGTCAGGACAAATCTCTGTC